AGCAGCGTTAACCGGGAGGGTCTGAGATGAGGCTCCGCTCTCCGGAGCAAAACCAGCAGCGTTGTTCCGAGGTGGGTGTAACGGCCGCGAACCCGCCGCTGGAGTATCGGGGGTGCCCCGGGAAGGTGATGGGGGGAGCAGCAGCAGCTTTGTGACAAGGAGCTTGGGAACGAGATTAAGCGGCGTCGGTGGTTCTTTGTTTAACGTCAGTGTAAATGAAGAACCGGCAAGGAGCTACATCACCCAGTAAATAAATCTCCCTGAGCACCCAAAATAGTGGGGGCCGAGCCCGGTTGCTTAAATCTTCTTATTCATGGATAAGAGGGGATGAGTTAGAAGTTGAAAACACTGGAGAGCCACGTCCCGCTGGGGCAGAGTGTTGGGCTGTGCCTGTACAGTCACTCCCAGCAGCAAGAGCTGCAGATGTTTTTATTTTTATTTTTATTTTTATTTTGCTGTTTTGGGTTGGGTTTTTTTTTAAATTAGTTCCAGGCTTCGGTAAGTTCCAGCCCTGTTGAGCACGGCTGGCTGCGTAGCCGGATAGTTTTCTCCCTGCAGTGAAAACCTGATGCGTCATAATCTGAGGAAGACGCAGCGTTTCCCCTTTCGACTCTGCACCGGTTACAGACGAGTGTCTTGGGGGGGGACACGGCGGGTGTGGAGGAGACTCGGGGCTCCACGTCCCAGGGGCTGAACGGTTCGGGCAGCGCAGAGCGAAGACGGGTGACAGCGGCAAATCCAACATTTTATTGGCATTTGGAGTCGGGCGAGGGAAGATTTCCTTAAGGCTCCCCAAGCACTGAGGTGTCCAGTATCATTTTGTTTGCCTGTGGTTGCTCAGGGTTATGTGCTGGAGGAATTCTTACTCCTGAGCATTTTCATTTCTGCTTCCTTACCTCTCGGTTAGTGCGTCCAGTTGCCAGGGTTGCAACTCCAGAGATCAGGAATGGGTGTCAGCTCCCTGCCGTGCACGGGGTGGTTACAGCCCCTGGTGCTCCCCGTTGTTCAGGGGAGGGAGGGTCCTCCCAACGCTGCGCTGGCTGGAAAAATTCCACCCTGCTCTGCTTCTGCCCAAAGAATTGCAGAGCAGCATCTCTGCCGCCCTTTGCCAGGGCTCTGACAGACCTGCCAGGCTGGGCTTTGTCAGCCAGGGAGGGAACGCTGCTCCATTTGCTGTTATTTAACCCTTAACCTGAACTTCAGGAAGGGACAAACGCAGCCTGGGGAGGGATGAGATGCTGATAACGCGCTTGACTTCTGCTTATCTGAAGGCATTTCGTGTGGTCAGCCCCGCTGCAGGGCCCGGAGCGGACAGTCTGTGGAGCCCCTCTGGATTTAACACTTCTTTTTCAGCTTTCTGCGGTGGAGGAGAGGGGCCAGCACTTGCAGCCGCTCCTGCTCTGGGTCTGGTCTGTGCTGGGGCGGGTGATGCTCCAGTACAAACTGCTGTGGGTGCAGGAGCAGTTGGGCTGTGCTGCTGGGGAGGAACAAGCCTCGTGGTGCAGAATGCCCCTCATTAGGTTTCCTTTTTTTTTTTTTTTTTTTTTTTTTTCTCTGAAGGTGGTCCAGTGGTCAGAATCAGAGACGGTGCGACTTCAGCTCTGGGACATTGCAGGTATGTTCACACGGACCACGAAGCTGCTTAGGAGCAGAATTTAAAGCTCTCAGTGGCTTGGCCTTTCTTTTTCTTTCTGTAGGAGTTTGCTACAAAATCAATCCTGAAAGCCTATCGATTCTGCCTCTAGTTTGCACTAGTAATTTAAATATTTAATCAGAATCACCTGCAAAGGTCGCAGCAGCACAGATGATAAATCCTATCGAGCCTTTCTTCTCCCATTTCAAAGCCCGAGCTGAGTGAATGGGGAAACGGTTTCATTTGTAGCTGGGTGTGTGACTTCTCCACTCAGAGTCTTCTGTTCAAATCCTGGTTTCGGGCATGAGAGCCGGGAATGCCTGATCCTGGCGTGGAGCAGCCCCAGTGACCTCACGCTGCTCTGGCTGCCGGGATCGAGGGTGCGACCCGGCTGCTCAGGGACCGGTGCGGAGCCAGGGGATCCCTCGGGAGCCGTCATGGCAGGAGGAGGCTGTTGGGTGCCCCCAAGGTGCTGGGGCTGGGTCGGCAACGGGGCACGCACCGCGGGACAGCGTTAACGTGAGATGGAGAGAGGAGCCCCCGCTCTCCGGGGGGGCACGGAGGGACACGGTTCCCCAGTCTCCCCAGCACCAGAAGACAGGTCGGTGCAGCAGCGTCTTTAAAATGGCACCTCTGGATCTGGAGGGACGAGGAAAACAGGGTTGTGGTTTCCTCCGGTTTCACAGCTCAGACGCGTGCGTCTGGAATCCTTAAAAAGAAAACAGGAAGGAGAAGTTTGCAGCAAGAGGGTTGCAGCAAGAAACTGATTTCAGTTTCAGCCCCGAAAAGGAGTTTTAAGGTTTGGAAAGGAGAGGGGCCACGCTGGTCACTGTGTTCTTGTCGTGCCCTGAGCAGAAGGGGACACACGTGTCACCTGCTGCCACAGGGCTTGCAGCGACAGTCCGATGGCTTGAGGAAACTCAGAGCGCCCAGATCTCGACGGTTTCAGAACCAAAAAGCCTGTTGAGCGGCTCCAGGGCTGCGTGGGAGCCCCCGGTGAAGTCTCTCCAGTGTCAGAAGCGCTGGTTTTCACCGTGCCCCTGGCCCGCGTGACGCGGTGCGGATGCTCTGCGGTGTGTCCCCATCTGCACAAGTACAGTCACACCACGCAGCTGCACGGTGGGGTTACTCTCTGGAGGCAGTTCTGGTTACTCCAGGCAGGCCGTGAGGTGTAAACACTAATAACAGCGTACCTGAGCTGTGATACTTTCTGTTCAGCATCACAATTTTCTCTCCGGAGAGGCTGCTGTCACGCTGTGCCCACACAGGCAGCAGGACGTGACGGTGCCGGTGGCCAGGAGAGCCTGTGGTCGGGGACACCCCATTTAAATTGTTACACCAAGAGTAACACTTGTGGGAATCTGAGTGCCTGGGTCAGAGCTGCCCAGTTTGTTCCAGCCCTGTGGCTGCCACGCTGAGGTGCCCCAGGCAGGACGCATCCCAGTGCCTGTATTTCCTCCTTGTTTAGGTGGAGACTGTTAGCGTCAAGCTAGAAAACGATGTGCCACGCTAAACGTGTTTGTTTGCATGAACAAATCTAAAAATGGTCATTCTGGAGGGTAAATTTTTCTCCTTTTGATCCCAAAGGGCAGGAACGCTTCACGTCCATGACGCGGCTGTACTACAGGGAGGCGTCAGCCTGCGTTATCATGTTTGATGTCACCAACATCAGCACGTTCAGCAACAGCCAGAAGTGGAAGCAGGATTTGGACAGCAAGCTCATGCTGCCAGACGGCAACCCAGTGCCTTGCCTGCTTCTGGCAAACAAAGTGAGCAGCCCTGGCCACGCTCTGTGTGTTTGTCCGTGTGCACGTGTGGGTGCGCAGGGGCGCAGGATGGCAGGAGACACCCGTAACCCCCAGCCTTGCTGAGAGCTGTCCCGTACCCTGCGGTCTTTTTAATCCTTTTCTTAACTCTCCTTGAATTTTCTTTCTCTAGCAAGGATTCTCCTCCGTAACTCAGACACTGGTAGGACTCGGTGCGTGGATGGCATGAGGAGATGTTAACAGCTGCTCTGGCCTAGGACGCAGGGCCTTGTGCCGTGCTGTCGGAGCTCGAGCTCTGTAGCTCCTGGATTATAAAGCTTTTCTTTTTCTTTTTTTTTTTTGGTCTTTCACTTGCAGTAGCCTGGGAAGGTTGTGTACGACACTGTAAAGTTTCTGTTCAGAGCTGCCAGAGGGATGTCTAGTTTTCATTTGGATGCAGCGTCAAGTTTCACCGTGTAGATTGGTTGCTGCCTTTTAATGATTTTTTTTTTTTTTTCATTTAAAAACTACCTTGATGTTCTTCATGTGCCAACATTGGCTCAGCAGCCCTTTCCAGATTCAGTTTGAGACTTGCCTGGTTTGAGAAAGCGTAAAACTGGAGATGACTCAAAAATGTGATGGGTGGGCAGCAGAGTGGCTTTTCTTCTCCACTTCACAAATAACGCTCTCCCCCGACAGCTGTTTTAAGGCACCGTTTTTGCCTGCATTAGGGAACAATGTGTGACTGTACACACTGCAGTCAATAGTACGAGCTGTTAGGGGACAGGGTTTCTCACGGCTTCTTCGTACGTCCCGTTGGCATCAGCGTGGCTGCCTCGGTGGCCTCGCACCGGTAACACGTTTCCTGGCTGCTGAGAGGCCGGGGAAATTTTGGATGAGTGACAATGCTTTTGTGTCCTGTGCTGGATTGAACCTCCATTCCATGCGTGCTTGGCTGAGGTGTGTCAGTATCTCAGATGAGATAAATATATTGTTGCTTGCAACATCCCATTAACAACCTTGCCCTAAGAGCTCTCTATCAGCTTGTGATCTGGGAGATGTGGAGGGCTGAGCCTACCTGCTGCCTGCCTGCCTGCCTGCACATGGGCGATAACTGGCTGAGGGGGAGAATTCCCCTCCCAGCTTAAAAATTAGAAGGCTGAACTTAAACTGACTGATTCTTGTTTTACAGTGCGACCTCTCCCCATGGGCTGTGACAAGAGATGAAGTGGATCGGTTCAGCAAAGAAAACGGCTTTTCTGGTTGGGTGGAGACGTCTGTCAAGGAAAATAAGAATATTAATGAGGCCATGAGGTAGGCACTGGTGATCCATCTAAGAGTTGATTCCTCTTTCAGACAGAGCCATCTTTGAGGTGAGGGGAGATGCTGTCGGGAAGTAACAAATAGCAGCAATAATGCACAAGTAAATCTCCTGAAGGGAAACCGAATTCTGAAAGGTCAGAAGTTTTCCTCTCCTTGGTTAAGCTCTGACATGCTTTTGGAAACAGAAATTCTTTGAGCAACACCAAGGGGTGTTTTTTTCATCTGCTGGCCTCTCCCAGAAGGATGGGACTTCTTGTGCAAAGATATTAGAAATTCTTTTGTGATGCACCAGTCCTTTGATGGAGGATTTGGCCTTTTCTGAAATGTATTCACACCTGATCTTGAGCTTGGGCACTTGGTACCTCGGAAGCCCGTTGCAGTGTCTCAGTCCTAACCTGGCCTCGAGGTGAGGTGGTTGCAGCGGGTGTTGTTAGTTATCCAGTCACTGCAGAGTCTTCTGATGCTGCCAGGTAATAGCAGTAATGCTGCTGTCAGTGCTACAAAGTTCCTTAACCTGATTTTTTTAAGTCGTTAAAGTTCCGGCTTTTTGTGTCCTTCTAGAATACATTGATGTTTCTTTTTTTTGTACTGCTGAAAAACCATGTGGCCCATTGCTGCTTCTTTAAAAAAAAAAAAAAAAAAACAACCCAAACAACACCAAAACCACCGCAAAACAAACTCAAACTCACATATGTTTGTCTTCTAGAGTCCTGATTGAAAAGATGATGTCCTCATCCACTGGTGATGGAAGTTCCTCTGCTGCCGGGAGTGGGGATTATATTAACATAAAAGAGACAACCCCACCAGGCTGGGCTTGCTGTTAGATGCACTGACTACACCATCTGCCTTGGGTCTAGCAGCAATGTCTTTTTATTATCATCATTTTTTTCCTAAATTGGCTGTCACTGTTTTTTTGGGGGGGGTTTCATGTGATTGTGGACTGCCTTCTGGTTAGTGCATATTCTCCCTCAGCAGAGCATTGCTACAATGACTTGGGGTGAGGAGTGGAAAGAAGGGAGGAGTGAGAAGATTCCTTTCTTCTAGTGTAGTAGCAACTGGGAGCTCTGCTGCTAGTAATGTAGCACAGTCCGTGGTCAAGCATATGTCTTGGATTAATTTTTTTATTTTTTATTTTTCGAGCACTTCATCTTCCGACATGTGATGCCCTGTGTCAGGCAGGGCGAAGGATGTCGAAGGTATATTTTTAATATTGTTGCACCTTTTTATTTCCCACCGCCTGCACCCACCATACACAGAGGCACCAGTCCAAAGCGTTAGAGTGACCCTCATTTGATGCACACAGAGTTCAAGCAGTGGGGATTCCAGGGTGGGATTACAACAAACTCTTTACGTTATGCTCTGGAACTACAGACCTCTGCTCACGTGTCCTGGAGGGACCAGCACATCCCACCACTGCCACTGACCGTCCTTAAGATGTGAAGCCAGATGTGGATTAGCACGGTGTCCCACGTAACCAGACCTGTAAAATTATCAGTGTGAATTTGAGAAATGGTGTAGCACAGCCCACGCTGTCGTGTGTACTGACTGGGGTGTGTAACAGCAGAGACTTCAAATTTTTGTCAAGAATTGCCCAGTTGCCTTCTGTTCGTTCCTTCTCGCTCACCCTCTCTCTAGCACAATCCTCTGTGTTCTGTTCTGCTGCCACTTTATTAGGGCACGGAGCGCTGAATGAGGAATAGGTTGTAAACTCCTTTGTATGACAGAACAACAGCCCTTTTCACTTTTTGAACACCCTGTATCCTACCATCTCAAATAGCTTTGCAGCCACTGATGAATTGGCCTCCCCACAATCATTCTGTAGCGACGAGTGGATTTGGTAGCAGGGATGGTGCAGGAGAGGCAGCTCTCCCAAAGCCGACCTGCTGGCTTTAGTGGTGCGAGGGGGGAGCAAAGGAGAAGACTTTGCAGGACGAAAGGAAAGGAAGAGAACCGCTCCCCACCTGCCTCTTGGTGTCTGCTTTCCCTAGCACGTCCCCAGGTACTCGTTAGTGAGAACGGTTCTTGCCAACAACAACAAAAAATTGGTAAAAGCTCTCTAGGTAGTTATCTCAGGAGAGTTAATAGGAAACTCAGTCTGTAGGGCTGGACTTACAGAGCGCTGCATGTGGTTTGTTGAAGGTTTATGCTGTAGAATTGTCTTGCCCGTGTTTTACGTTAGGATTTGAACAAGTCTTCGGTAACGTTTTCTCCTTTTTGAGTCGTTTAGTTTGAAAATGGGACTATAAATCGGTTTGTCCCGATTCCCGCTCGATTAGAACTGCTTTTCTTTGGCAAAATATTCCTTCTGTCTGTCTTTTCTTACTTTATATCATCAGTGGAGGGAGAAGGTGGTAGGAACAGGAACTGCTTTCACTAAAGACAAAAAATTCTTGAGTTTTCATTCTCCGGAGTTGAAAAAGATTGATAAGTAAACAGTAAGAGCTAAGAAATTTAGAACTAGTGTTGTTGTGTTCCACTGTTTTAATTAAAAGCTAAAATGTCGGGGCTAGGATTCTGTTGTGCAACTTTTATCAAATTTGGTTTTATAGGCACTTAAATATTCCCTGTTCTGTGCTGATGGGATTCACTGTAGAAACGTGTGAAGTGTGTAGAACTGGTTAGCAACAAAAGTGAACTGTCTTGTTGAATTTTACTTCCTAAACACTGTTTAAAAAAAAAAATTGTTTAGTCCTATAAATACTTTTAGTTCTTTATGGAACATGGAGAGAAGGGTCTAATGTTTTAAAGGATCTGTCACTAAACCACAAAGATTCATGTGTTATTTATTGATTTCTGCACCTCAGAGCGTTTCAGCAGAGAGGTCAAGGGTTAGAGCTCTCCTTACAGCTGGAGAAACCGAGGCACGTGGTAGGAATCTCTGCCCAGGACCAATTGACCACTCAAGTCAGTAGGAGCTTGGCACTGAAAGGAAAATTTCTGTTTCGATGGCCCAGCTGCTAGGCCAGGGATCTTTTGCGTGTCCGTTTGATAGGTACCAGTGCCTCTTTGATGTCTGGACCTCTTAATCTGGACCTTTTTTCCTTAAGTGCCTTTCAGAAACAAAGAAAAAGCCAAAGCAAGATCTTTGAAGGTTTTCTTCTATTATACATCATTTCTGTTCTGCCCAGTGGTTTCCGGTACCAGTGTATGCCCTGGGGTTTGGGGTTTTTTTTTCCACACTGCTTACTGCTTGTTAACACCTTAATAGATGCAGTAGACAAATGTCAAAACCCAAGCCTGCACAACAAAAACAGTCGTTGCTTGAGATGGGTATAAAAACCCAATCAGACAGGAAAACGATCTCACTGTGCAGATGTGTGTGTTTTTTCAGAGCTTGCTCTGTGACACATTAGGTGCTTAAAATAGCAAAGCAAAACAAAAAACCAACCCCTTGGTTGAGTCCTGTAAACTAAACTGATTGAAAAGCTCGAACTAAACACAGCTCTTTGCTGGGACAGGCAGTGTGGAAAGAACAGTTGCCTGTGAAGCTGATTGTGCCCAGCTTGTGCTGGCTGAAATAATTCTTAAGTTTTTAAAACAACTGAAAGGGAAAAGCCAACTTGAGTGAAGCGGTTCCTGAGAAATATTTTAAACAAAGTCTTGTTCACGCAGACCGATAAAAACTTGAATCTTTCAAATATGAATCAGAAAAGCTTCGTCTTTATTCTGATGAACTCTTGATTCACTGGTGTCTTTGACAGGAATGACCTGTTTTGAAAATGAAGGTGCTTGATTTTCCCTTCTGCAGTGCCTGCTTTGACTTTGTACTCTTAGTGTGACTCTGGGCCAACTGTACCTATTTCCCTCTCTCCCACGTGTTGTTTCTCATTCCTGTATCTTTAATTTGTGGTCATGGGCCTCAAAGCCACATGAAGTTTAAACGGTGCATTTTAGATGTTGATGACAGCACACTGTGGGTCCACAGAGCTGAAAATTTTTACTGCAATAGAATTTGAAAGCATGAGGGCAGACTATAGTTCAGAAATAAGTCAATAATATGAAAACTTAGCTTTTTTTTAAGAAAAAAAACACACCTGCTTGCAGGTATGCAGAAGTATTTTAGAGACAGGGTTCTGATTACTGTAAAGTTACAGTATTACCATGTTTATATTAAGAGAAGAAACTGCTGGGAGGTTTTTCTCCGTATCAATCAGTAACTAATGCAGTATTGCTAAAGTCTGAAATAAAAGTTTGACATTGCTTGTGTAGTAGTAGTCGTTGTTTTCCTGTCTCAACAGTCCTAACAAATGGGTTCCCAAGTTCAAACTAGAAACCGGCTTGCAGTCAGTAACAGGGAGTGTGTAAAGCATACAGTGTGTACTGCCCTGTATTGCCAGCAAAACAAATTCGGTGTTTTTTGTCACTGAAACATCTTGCCGTCTCCATTCTTGTAGTCTTACTGACCTGCAAGCGGGATATAAGCATGCAAAACTTTCACATCTGGGAGTGAGTCATAGTGGCTTTTAATCCAATATATTCAGCTAAGAGGAGAAAGAAAAGAATTCCTTGATGTGGTTGGTTGTTAATACACCTTCCTCCTTATGGCTCATTAATTCACAGAGTGTATTTTGGGGCTGGCTATGCAGGCAGGCGGTTGCTCTGAATGCCCCGCTTGCTTTCCTGATCAGCTTGATTTTCATGAGTATTGACTTGCACGAAGGACAGGGCACATCTGAATTGGTCCCAGAAATGGCAGTAATTCCAAAGGAGACAAATTAAGTTCAAGCAGGGCATTAAATGAACTCGAGTTACTTTTATAATTAGGTAAAAAGCTGACCGTATTTGTATTGTCAAACCAGTCTTCTCAGATAATCGGACATATTAAAAAATGTTTTTAAGTACCGCTTTTAATAAAATGGAGGAATAAACCTCTCTAAAGATTCAGATGCAAAGTTAAAGCGACTTGCTACTGCAGAAGCTGCCATTTTAGTGGGCTGTGCAATAGATCTAGTTTTTCCATGGCAAAAGCAGCTCCTTTTTTTTTTAAAAAAAAAAAAAAAAAAAAGATTTGGAGTTTCTAGGGAATTTAAAGTCAAAAAAACTCAAAGCCTTTGCCCAAATTGCGCATGTTCTTTCTGTCTGCTGACTAGTAGAGGGAAAAGTGGTGGTAATCGGTACTGATAATAAAATCTATGCCTGCTGAAATTAATTTTCTGCATTTCTTCGTGAGAAAAATACGGAATTTAGGGGCGATTCATGTAATAAACAAACAAACAAAAAAGTAACGTGCTGTAAAAATCGGATGGGACGTAGATTGATTATAAACCCCATCAGACGGTGCGATCTGATCCAACCTGGGGGCTCTCTCGGAGCACAGAGGTGCCGTTGCAGCCGAGGTGGTGGGCTGTGAAGGAAGGGCGCAGTAACCGCAGGAGGATTTCATGCTGTCCCGGCGTCAGGAGCCCGGTGTCAACCGCTCTGGGCGTTGGGTGTTCTCGGCGGGTCAGTGACAGACCCTGCGCGGCCCAGCCTGCTGCTCTACCCGTTTGTGTATTCCTCCCCGGCAGCCCCCTCTGAAGTCTGGCCCCGAAGGGCAGC